AGACAGTGTATGTTAGGAAATCGGCCTAGTGTAAAATTGAATATTAAGTTTCTGAAGTAAGCACCACTTATTGGATGGAATGACACTTGAGTGAATACTACGGTAGTGGAGAACTGGTGCTAATATTGCTGAAACAATTATTTGATTCCTATTAAATCTGTACCATGGAAAGTGACACCATCATTAATTGTTTGGATGTTGAGATGCTACGGTAGGATGTCCAGTTGGATCAGATTGTTGTTTCAGCAGGTCATTTCATAAGCCTTCCATTCTGTACTTTATTGTCTAGGCAACGAACAAACATCAGAAGTTATGTTTTCATAGTTGCTTATCTCTGCTATGAAGTCCAGTTGTTATTCATTCTTTCAAAGTTGCAAACAAACTTTGTCATGTTCATTGTCGGTGTATACGTGACTCTACTGTTGTCTAGGCTTCCATTATCCTATAAAGTTTGTCTTTTTTTCATACAGGTTTTCATATTTCTCTAAAGTTTAATAAAAAACGAATGTCATATCATTGAGATTGATGTTTAATAATACTGTTATCTAATTGTCTATTTGTTAAAAAATGTTGAAGGTCTTACTTCAGGGACATCGGTTAAATGTGATGGCAATTCTTCACTCGTAGAAAATGAGCAATGTGCTAATGATAATTCTGACAATAATAATGTTGGTCTCGGTGATCAATCACAGGATTTATCAGATTTTTCCGACTAAAGGTAAGTTAACTAACTCCATTGTGATTATTTTCTTTTAAAAGGAAAGTAATTTATGTGTGTGTGTGTTTATTTCTGATGATGTCTCCTTGTCACAGACTTTTATTTGTGTTTTCATGCTGAAGTGGACTTCCTGATAAAATATCCCTCTCTTTATTATCTATTGATTTTGGTACGCATGTCTGTGAAGTTTCTGTTACAAATTTGTAGTGACCATCATATATGTCAGTAAGTACACACCGACTGGTTTACTTCTGTACTGTTTTGCCTTACTATGACACAGTTCATTAGATCGTTTCCTCATTTTTCTGACTATATTAAACATTGGTGACTAGAAGGTGAATAGGAATAGGGACTGACTGTTATTTTTTACCACGGAAATATAAACTTCGACTAAGTTAGCCGCCTACATTGTAGTTGAAAAACTTAATCGTTGTTCTGCATGCCTTTTCAGTTTTGGTCAAGACAGTTTCATATACTTCTCTTAAGGATTGATTACGGTGACGTCTTCTTCAAGTATATTTTTCATTAATTCGAAATAAATTGTGAAATTTCATAAAATCGCCAAACATCAGGTTAATAATCTCTCAGTTTGCTTTTTTTTGTAGTGGTCATATTGTGTTAATTGTAAGGAATTCTAGTATTGTGTATTTTATTGATGTCACCTAGATGAGTTTTCATTGTTCATTCAACTAGTCATTTTCAAATATAAGAAAAACAAAAAGAATGATGTTGAACACTTGAAAGAAATTATACCCAGACATTTATCGTCAGTTCTTGAAATTCTAATAATATTTGTCGTCAGAACGCTGTTATTTGCTAGTTACTGACGTAACATTTTCAACCGAATTTGATGTTTTCGACGAGTATTCCGTAATCTGTTTTACTAAGAATAACTGATTAAGGAGGATTATTATTCGACAGCGTCGACTGAGAGGTGATTTGGAAACTATTACACAACAATTATACATCTCATCCAAAAGTTGTACGATAGTGCTGCATGTCAAGTAATCCACAACGGAAAACTCGCGGAATCCTTCGGAGTGAAGAGGGGAGTAAGACAAGGCTGGCTGGCTGGCTGCCTACTATCTCCAATGATTTTCCTGATTGCGGTAGACTGGATAATGTGATAGAGAGCGGCGGGCAGCGAGGAGACAGGCATAAAATAGACCCACACAAAAAACTTGGAGGATCTGAACTTCGCCGATGATATATGTCTGATTTCCCACAAACTGGAAGATATGCAAGTGAAAAGCAACAAGTTGGTAGAAGAAGCATCCAGAGAAGATAGGACTTCAGGTGAACATAGAGAAAACAGAGGTGATGAAGATTCCTGGCCAACACCAACAGCAACAGCAACAACAACAGACAACAATCAGCCAGCATAAATGGGGGAAATCTGAAAGAAGCATCGTTTCAACTACAGGTGGACGGAACTGACGAGGATATCAAAGCGGGGATCGGGAAAGCAAGACAAGCTTTCACTACTCTCAAGTCTGTGTGGAGGTCAACAGCACTCAGCATCAAAAATAAGATCCGGATTTTCAACTCCAATGTGAAGTCAGTGCTGCTCTGTGGATAAGAGACTTGGCGCGTCACGGAGGGCACTTCGAACAAACTACAGACCTTCATCAATGGCTGTCTTTGCTCAATACACAGAAAGTGACATCAAACGCCAGGCCATTGCTCGAGTGGAACCCAAATGGGAAACGGCGAGTCGGTCGTCACTGCAAGGGTGACATGGAGGAGATTATGTGAAGAGGAGATGAAAGCATGTAAGCGGACGTGGATCGAGGCGAAAAAGTTGGCAGAGAACCGAACGCAATGGAGACGTACGGTTGAAGCCCTGTATTCCTCTAGGAACTAAAGGAGACAATAATGATGATATACTAATAATAATTCCTTTGGGTTCCGAGTGGAGTATATGACTCCACCAGAGCATCTCCATTTTATCCTTTTTTCTTCAGTCCTATTTATCTGGCTCAACAATCACCCATAAGCTTTCAACTCCTCCTTATACTATCTCTTGTATGTCACTCTCGGATGCATGCTGAAGTCTTCCATCCATCCGACGGCCTACCTGTCGTGTGATGTCACTCAGTAGTCTTCTAAGTGTGTTTCTGATCCATCTACATTTTCTTCGACATATTTGTTGGTAAACAGGTTGTTGATTGGTTCGTTTCCGACATTGCTTGTTGCTTATTTTTCCTAAGCTGTCATCTGATCTTCAGTGCGCTAGGAAGACAGTCGGTTGTTGCGGAAAGTCTTGCCTTTCCTATCCCTGCCACCTGTAGTGCTGCTTAGATAAGTGAAAGAAGTGACTCCTTTCAAATTTCTTCCGTCAGTAATAGTGATTGATGCTTGTTGTTGGTTGGTTGGTTGGTTGGTTATCCTCATCACCTGTGTCTTCCTTACGTTCACTTGAAGTTCTATATTCTCTGATTCTTCTGTCAACTTGTTGGTTTCCATTTGTAGATCTTTGAATTTATGTGACATTAGGCGAATAAAGATATTCGCTACCAGTTAGGTCTTCATCTCTTGGCATAGTATCGAAATATCAATTTGATAGGTTGTGGGTTAACTATCCGGAATTGGTTACAGGATTTCATCATGAGCTGACATTGGTTAGAGAATTACAAATAATTGAATAAATTAAATCATGAAGACAGTAAACTGTAAGAAATTAAGATTGAAAAGAACCAAGAGAGTAGCTATGCACATTTATAAATCATAATTATCGGAATATTAAGCTACATAACAATAGCCACACTGTGTTCAAGCTGATTATTTCAGGTTGTAAGTGTTCCCTTTGAATAAAGATAATGTAGACTCCAAATTTTGTCACAGCCTATAGAATTTCTGATTTCTCCGTGTATGACTTCATAGATAAATGTTGTATAATATATTTTAAATATGGGTGGGGTGTATTCGGAGAATTTTTGGTCATTGATGATCGTGTGAAATCAGACGTGTAAATTCCTAAACAGATTTTGTTATGAATCGAAAACACTTAGTGATTTAAAACCCCTTTAATAAATTTGGGTAGCGTTATAAGAAGACAAAGTTTATCTGAAAAAATGTGACACATTTCGAACAATTTGATCGCATATTTACTAGTCAAATCAGTTTTTGTATGAAAAATGAAAAACCACTTAAAATATGCAAAACGATAACGCACTGATATTGATTTTCATAAATCCGAAGACTTCAACGAGATAGTATTCACCCTCTCCACTTGGCTGAAAACGCCAGTCAGAGATTTCATAAATTGATCCCTTATATATTCTTCTGACCACCTGCGAGTCTTTCTCAACGCAGTTCTACATCAGCTAACATTGTTCGTTGAGGAGGCTTGTGAATCGGTAGGCGTAAAACATGTAACCAACTCGGTCTATGAAGCTTGACAACCTCATCAATTGACTTTCCCTAACACTCCCTCCCCATATCACCTAAAACTTGAGACAGAACTCAGACACCTATGACCTAAGACACCCAGTCAGCCTCTTCATATCTTCCACTTTCAATGGCCATGTTTTACAGCCACAAAGATGGACAGAGCCAAATGCTGGTCAGTACACACGTCCATTGTTCGATAGCCGGATATCACATCTAGGCGAGAGATGATGTAAGTTGGCGAAAGCCAGAGGAGCTTTTTGTATGCGTGCTAAGATTATTAAGTTGGATAATGCTTAATACTACACTACTTTTGGTAGTATATGATCAGATAAGGATTACCAAGGTAGATGAAGGGTGATAATAAATTCTTTTCTCGCACACACAGTAGTGGGGGTGTGGAACTTATTTTCACGGATAGCTATTGCCTCAGCACATTGTGCAATCACATCACAATCTTCAGATAAACCTCGTCTTCTAATGACGCTATTCAAACGCTTAAGAAGCATATAACAGCATGAAGCCACTGACAGTGTACCTTAGGCAACTAAAGTTTGAAGCGTTACAGAACTGTCTAATTAATTACAGTCGAATGTGTCGAATGTGCGGATGTCTACCCTAGTTAGATTAGTCAGAATTTAACAGTCTTACTTTTAAGCATTAAAATGAACTAATTAGATTTATTTATAGTGTTTTTTTTTAAAAACTAACTTATTTATCTTTCAAAATGTTACTTGTTTATTAATACAAAAATATTTTTAAGTATTGTTCCGTGGTGTGTGTGTGATCTGTTTATAAGATTTTGTATGATTTGAACTTGAACTGTTATTCACTTTGTTATTTTGATCGTGACATCGACTTGGCATGTTTGTTTGTTTGTTGTGATTCCAATAACCAACCTCATGCCAAAAGTGGTGAATAACTTTCATTAGATGATGAGATTAACTCGAGTTGACCATTGTACATTTTACATGGATTATATATGGATGTTTTGTTATTATTGTTAATATTATTGGCAAATGGTATTGTAACGAAGTCAGTTATTGATTAATTTTACAAAATGTGTGAGCAAGCCGACATTGTACTACACCTGAGTTATTATATTATTCTCATCTAGCCGTTATGAGTAAAGTAGTTGAGCCGACAATATGCGTGTTCAAAGGAATCAGTATTTGGTCTTAAATTTATTCATTGTGTTGATGAGTAATATTCGTGATACCAAGAAGATGGTAAACATTATTACAGTGTCAAATCTTGACAACAGTTATAGAGGTGTTTAATTGGTGGATGGTGACTAGCAGTGGAATCCAGGATGCGCATTGCGTCCTATTTGGGACTCGTCAGCATGGATGTACCTGCATTCCCCAGTGAGTGATAATGTTCCCACCGAGGCTCGAACCCAGTGTCCATAGTTTCAAACGCCAAAGTGTTATCCACTAGACCACTTGGGCCACGAGAACCACCACTTGTGCAACGGGTCATATTGACTATTTAATTGAATTTTAGATTTTCCCGTCGATTGATTGAACCGATTGGACGGAGTCCCAAATAGGACGAAATGCGCATCCTGGATTCCACTGCCAGTCACCATCCACCAATTAAATTCTAATTACATGCCCAGACATCGTCGAAGCATCTGCACAAGAAGCCGACATGTCAACCTGAGACCGAGCACTTCGGTCCAATCAATCGACGGGAAAATCTAAAATTCAGTTTAAAAAGTTATAGAGTTGGTTTTAGCATTATTACAAAATAACCAATGAACAGCTGACTACCAATCAACCATGATATATGTGATATTATTGCAGTAGGCGAAGGCAGATTTATACCTGAGATCGAGTGGAACTTTACTTCTTTCCTATGCATTTTCGTCTATAAAGAACTGATGTCTTTTTTTCGACACTTGGACAACTGAAAACTTTGTACAAGCACAAATAGCATTCTAAAGCAGAGAGTATATTCAATTTTATAAATGCTTATAGAATGTCGATATTAAGTGTTTCACATTTCTTTGAAATTTCTACTAGTTGGTGTAGTTGGCAAATAACTGGGATGTCATATAGTTAATGAATAAGTTTGATTTTAACAAATAAGTAAACAATAATGGAATAAGTAGATACTGAGAGCCAATAATTTGAATTAGTATACTGTAGTGAATATTATAACGAAAAGTAAAATATTCCAGCCACCCTTGTGTTCCAAGTGGAGCATAGGTCTTCAACAGAACATCTCTATTTTGTCCAGTCCTCTGAAATTCCCTTTAGCTGACCCCATAATTCCCCATAGGCTGTCATCTCCTCACACGATTTCTTTTGTGTCACCCTCGAACCCACACGCAACTCGTCGCTTTCCATTCAGGTTCCCCTAGAGCGATGGTCTGACGCGCGATGTCACTTAACGGTCTCCTTAGCGTATGTCCTATCTATTTCCATTTTCTACAGCATATGTGTTGACCTATTGTGGTGCTCTATTTGACCAAACTAGCGTACATGTATATCCTAGTACTTCTTCGCGTTTATTATTGTGTCTTAACGTTGTGATTACTCGACATCCACAACGTAAATCAAAAGGCACTTGAGAAGGAGTATGAACGTGTATTATCGCAGTAATCAAAATTCAAAAGTTGAGCGAGTACAAATGTATCAATTGTTAACACGCAATCTTTAGAGTGATAAACAAATCAAAGTCCAATTACATAGTGAAAGTATACTACGATGATGAGTAATAAAATGGGTCGCTACAGACCAATAGGTTCTTTGGTTAGTTGGTCCCCATACTTCCTTGTTGCTAATTCTTTCTGACTATCTGGTAGCCAGTATGTAGTTAGTGAAGAATATCTGTTGATTAACGTCTGAAGGCTGTTCGAAATAACTTTTGTGACCTACATAAAGAAGTAATGACTTGACATTAAGTATTGCAAATCCAAATCCTGTTCCTTACACTGAGTTCAGCGGATTTTCAAACTGATTTTAGACTATTGAAGATCTGTTTTGTTTTTCAGATCATTCATATCCGTTCCACCTGTAGTTGAAACAATTCTGTTTAGATAAGTGAACGAAGTGACCTCTTTCAAAATTTCTCCCATTGATAGTGATTGATTCTTGTTGTTGTTGTTTCAATATAGAAAAAATCCCCATTTAGACAATTAGAAAACAGAAAGACTGAGCGAAGAAATATTTACTTTCAATTGGATCCTCATCTCTCTCTGGCTCTACTCTAATATACACGTATAGCATTTTTATTACAATACACAACAATTTACCAATCAAGTGGCACTGATATGTTTGTTAACAATAATTAGTCAGTGTCAACATGTCAATGGGGTGATAATTAACGAAGAAAATCAATACACACACACAATTAAAAGGTAGAAATGGTTAGAATAAATTAATTTTACAAGGATAACACGTAATTAAAGATGAAGTGGTCAAAATAAATAAAATAAATAATTACAATATATTTAAAAAAATGAATTTTTGACATGCTTCTTCAGGTGGATTCATTGCTTCAGCTGATACTGAGCTAAGGTTGACGTTAATACTGCATTTAAAATTATTTATCGCATTCCTACTAATCTTAATTTTGCTTTACGAGTTCGTCTTCTACATACAACTGAAGCAATCGGAATCTACCTGAAGAAGCCAAACCTGTGTGTTAGAAGAAATTGTAATTCAAATAATTTATTCTACCATTTCTACCTTTAATTGTGTGTATTGATTTTCTTCGTTATTATTATTTTAATTATTGTTAACAAACATATCAGTGCCACTTGATTGGTAAATGTTGTGTATTGTAATAAAATGCTATATTAATAGAGCCAAGTGAGATGAGGATCAATTAAATAAATTTTGTTGTTGTTTTTGTTGTTCTTGGTCGGCTGATTACGTGACTTTCACCTGTTCAAATAATTTGATGATATTAGATAGTTGAAGGCAATCACCAGGATGCCTTGCTTGACCTAGGCTTTGTGCTAGTTGGCACTCGTCAGCAAGGCATATCTGCAACCTTGAAGGAACTCATGTCCCTTCTGAGATTCGAACCCGCGTCACCCAGTGCCGCCTGCAGTCAGAGACGTTACCACTGAGCTATTCGGGCTCGTGATTGACCTCCTGTAGGAATGTAGTGGATATTTTGATTGGACACTAGTAATTAGTGTGATATGTCTAGTCCTTTCTTTGGTGCAGACTGAATTCTATCAATCAGGTTTGCAATGTGGCCACCATTCTAGGTAGCTTGTCATCCCGGTGCACATTGATGATGTATTAGATGGTTGGAGGTAATCGCCAATCATCCAATCAATGTGCACCGTGATGACAAGCTACCTAGAATGGTAGCCACATTACAAACCTGACTAACAGAATTCAGTCTGCACCAAAGAAAGGACAATTATGGGTAAATTTTGTTTTGATAAAGTCTCACAGTGTTATACAGTAATGTTTACTGATGACGTTTCGAGCACAATTTATTGCTCATAATCATATCAAGGTGATATGATATCAAAACGTCATCAGTAAACATTACTGTATACACTGTGAGACTTTATCAAAACAAAATTTACCCATAATGGAATTACACTCTACCACAGTGCACAAGGTTTATTCTTATATCAAAGAAAGGACAAGACACGTCACACTAGTTACTAGTGTCCAATCAAAACTGTTCAAATAAATTTGTCAGATATTTGTATCTCAATTCCAGTTACAATCAGAATGCAAGAGTAGTTGAATCAGTTTGTAATAATAAAAGTTATTTTTAAATTACGCGCAAATGTACCTACCATTTTTGCTTTCCAATAAGTCATTGAAATACATGAATATTTAAAGGTTCACTTAGAAGTGAATAAAGGAATACACGCCACACAACAATGTCTGGTCAAATGATCATGACTCCTTTACCCCTGTGTTTATCACATTTTAAGGGTGTGGAAATAAACGATTTTACGATGTATTCCTCATGATTGCTTTGCAAAAATGTCCTTATATCTCTCTCTGATCGAAATAGGTTCATGTGATGCTAAATAAACTAAAGAAATCCACACGTGAATCACAGTAAGATAGATAGTAACTGGGTCACTTTAATTGGTGGATGGTGACTAGCAGTGGAATCCAGTTTGCGCATTGCGTCCTATTTGGGACTCGTCACTGGATGTACCTGCATTCCCCAGTGAGTGAGTGATAATGTTCCCACCGAGGCTCGAACCCAGTGTCCATAGTTTCAAACGCCAAAGCGTTTTCCGCTAGACCACTTGGGCCACGAAAGCCACCTCTTGGGTCACTTTCTCTATATTTTGGAAATTATGAGTAGTGTCCTCTGCGACGAAAGCTGAATAGTCACATGTCTCATATCGGATTTAATAATTTCTTTAAGTTGACACATGTTATAAATATATATATATATGTCTGTACGACAATGCTGCATGCCAAGTAATCCACAACGGGAAACTTACGGAATCCTTCGAAGTGAGGACAGGAGTAAGACAAGGCTGCCTACTATCGCCAATGATTTTCCTGATTGCAGTAGATTGGATAATGCGACAAACAGCGGGCAATGAGGAAACAGGCATAAAATGGACTCACACAAAAACTTGGAGGATCTGGACTTCGCCGATGATATATGTCTGATTTCCCACAAACTGGAAGATATGCAAGTGAAAAGCAACAAGTTGGCAGAAGAAGCATCAAAGATAGGACTTCAGGTGAACATAGAGAAAACAGAGGTGATGAAGATTCCTGGACAACAACAACAACAGACAACGATCAGCATAAATGGGAGGAACCTGAAAGAAACAACCTCCTTCACCTACCTACCTGGGAAGCATCGTTTCAACTACAGGCGGATGGAACTGACGAGGATATCAAAGCAAGAATCGGAAAAGCAAGACAAGCTTTCACTACTCTCAAGTCTGTGTGGAGATCAACAGCACTCAGCATCAAAAATAAGATCCGGATTTTCAACTCCAATGTGAAGTCAGTGCTACTCATATACGGATCAGAGACTTGGCCAGCGCGTCATAAAGAGCATCTCAAACAAACTACAGACCTTCATTAACAGTTGTCTTCGCTCAATACTCAAGATCAGATGGCCAGAAAAGATCAGCAACAGAGATCTCTGGGAGCGAACCAACCGAGCAGGAACCGATTGTGAAACAAATAGGCAGGAAGAAATGGAGATGGATTGGCTGGCCATACTCTGAGGAAAAAACCATCAAGTGACATCACTAGACAAGCCATTGCTCGAGTGGAACCCGAAAGGGAAGCGGCGAGTTGGTCGTCAGTGCAAGGGTGACTTGGAGGAGGTCATGTGAAGAGGAGATGAAAACGTGTGGGCAGACTTGGAGCCAGGTGAAGACTCTAGCAGAGAACCGAACGCAATGGAGACGCACGGCTGAAGCCCTATGTTCCTCTAGGAATTAAAGGATACAATAATAATAATAACAATAATAATGTCTATTCAGTGACGACTACTGGTAAGTATTGTATTGATTAATCTTCACTTTTTATTTCTGCGTTTACCTTACCTCTTAGGTTTAAAGCTGAGTCAAGTCTTACAATTCTAATAATTGTCAAGACAACAGAAGAGAAAAATCAGACAAGAAGAAGGAATACTCGCGAGTGCTATCGAGAAGTGAATGCCTGACTGAGTGAGCGATAGTCGATATAACATGGAATATACTCACACACACACACACTTGCTACCTCTTCTCATCATTTTATTTTTATCTAAATCAGTTGCTCATAATTTTATTATCACTATTATTATTATTATTTACGATCAGTTTTAATTGTAATTGTTATTGATGAATTAGTGAAACAATGAATGAAATTTCAACATGCCAACACTACTTACCCACTATCGTTTATTCCATCTGAGTCTATTATCCCTTTCTATCCTTTCACATACATTTATATTATTATGGTTTATATTTGAAATTAAAAATTAAGACAAATCAACATATCTTCTCCCCATTAAATCTCAGTTATGTAGTATTATTCGTTTTGGTAATGTATCTTTAATAGTTCGATTACTTGTTAATGTTTTTTTTGTAATATTTGAGAGGTGTAAAGACGATCTGTTCTATGCAAAATGCTGTGTTATACAACCCGCTATCCAATACTAATTACATCAAAGTATAAAAGTCATCATCATCAAACAAGGCCACTAATTACAAGATTGGTATGTTAGCAGCTGTACGGAAGATAAACTGTCTGGTCATTTTGTCAATTTTCGCTGTTATTATTATTGTGCAATTTAGGCCTACTTAGTCCATTTTCATCACCTATTGAACTATTGAATTGTTTTGTTTTTTTCTTTTTAAGTCTTTGATTAAATTTGTTTAAATTGTCTCTTTTGTTTATAGGCATAGCTTATATTTCTTTTTTGAATTATATTGAAGCAATAACTAGCGATTTTTAGAAAGAAAAAAAAAGAAAACAGTCTTGTGTTGATTATCAGATTCTACTGACGCTTATTTATAATTTTACCAAATAATTACATGTATCAATTACTCCTCATGTATTCAGGTTTGAATTTCCTTTTTGAAGTCTTTTTCTTTTTGTTCAATTGTTAGTCATCCTTTTTTTTTATTGTTCAAGACTCCAGTTTGTATGAATCAATCAGATGATCATACACATAATATTTATCTAGTATTATTATTATACTATTATTATTATATTATTATTACTTCTACCAATCAGAATGTTCTTTTCTACACTTTGAATTACCGTAATGGTGATGACTTTGAAGGTGGCGAGGATAGTGTGTGTGTGTGCAGTAGATGTTTTCTATTGAATAATTCAAAATATAATTTTTTTTAAAATATATGCTGAAACCTTTGAAGAAACATTGTTCTATTCAGTGGATACAGTTATAGTTACTAGATTTGAAGGCAATTTTATCATAGAAGTACAAGTTCTTGAAGTTGAACTAGTCGTATTTGGAAAGCTGCATTATTCTGAACTAGATTTTGTACTGTATGACTTTTTTTCTGCTTCACGTTCCCAGTGGAACATAGGACACCTTCAAGCTAGAGGCTTGAAGTTTCTGTAGGGGTCGCTAGCCTCATGCCCAACCTTTCCTCTTTACCAGTTTCATTTCTGACTTAGCGGGGTAGAGGAGTGCGTCTGTGGCCGGGGATCGAACCCTGGACCATGTGCATAGTCGGCGAGCGTCCTAACTACTGTGCCACCGACGCACACTGTATGACTAGTGATTTATATTCTTAATATTACATGACTTCTCTTCAATGTGCACCAGTGGTAGTAGATTAGCGGAGTCAGGAATATCAGTCGAAGAAAAGGTGCCAGAGCTAGTTGAACTCCATTATGGATAAGATTTTATTTTGATAAATCACACAGTGGTACTATACAGTAATATTTACTGATCGAGCACGTTCTGATCACAATTTATTACTACTCATAAAAATATCAGGTCACTCACACAACTTTGCTTATTATATAATAATGAACAAGCAGAATTAGTTATGTTAGACTGTAAAATAAAACGAACAGAAGAAGGTAAACTGAACACCAGCGTTTATAAAAATCCAACGCATTCTGCTAATAGATATTTAGACTTTAAATCATGACAGCCAGTATCTGTAAAGGCTGGCTTAGTTAAGTGTCTAACAAACCGAGCAATAACTCTTCTATGTAGTACAACAAAAAACCTATATGATGAAATGAAACAGATAGAAGAAGCATTGGTGTTGAATAACTCACTATCCTATAAAATTCATTAGGAAGATCAGAAAACGTCAAAAGCAAAATAAAAGTAATGGTGAAACTAATAATGATAATATAAATAGGAGAGAATATAAGACATCTACAGTTTGCAATGACTGTGAGGTCAACTACATAGGTGAAACTAGTAGGTCAGGAGTGGTGAGATTATCAGAACATAAGAATTTAGTGGCTAAGGTTAGAATGATTGACTGCACTCGCGAAGATAAGTAATTTAGAAAAAAACTCAGCAATTGCACTGCATGCATTAACACATAATAAGGTGGGAGAGGGTCAAAATTCTAAAAAGTAATATAGGTAGGTGGAGAGGGAGAGAGATTGATTACTGAATCCTCGTTCATCGAGTCTATACCCAACACATGCAGTAGAAGTGACTCAACGCAAATACCAGAGATATGGAAGATATTATTATCACCAGTTAGTCAAATCAGAGGATAATACATAATGTGAAAGTGTATTTCAATTCACATTATAACATTCTAACACGTTACTTATTTTTTACTATAAAAACATCTTATTTCCCATCTTATTGTATTTTATTGATAACACTAATGTTATTTCCGAATGTACTTTATCTTCCTTCCTACTTCATGCAAGTCTTATATTGATTTTATTCAAATATCTAATCAATTTTTACTCAAATATATAAATGAAGCAAGGAAGTTGTGTGATTAACTTGATATGATTATGAGTAATAAGTTGTGCTGGAAACGTGGTCATCAGTTAATATTACTGTATAACACCACTGTGTGATTTATCAAAATAAAATCTTATCCATAATGGAGTTACACTCTACTATAGTGCCCAAGTTTTATGCTTATATTCGAGTAGAACTCGCCTACTGCAGTTTAAGATTTTCAAAAGACTGATTACTGATTAAAGAATATTCTTTTCGATAACTTCGTCAGGTTCTACAGTAATGTATACATAATAGTGAATGAATCAAGGTTACTGACAAAATTAATGTTGTTTAAATAACATCGAATCAATAATAATATCAGTGGATTACAGTTCGATAGCATCAACATAACAATACACACTGAATATCAGAAAAATTAGGAAGAATAATAGTACAGATTTCATGAATTTATATTCTCTACAGAAGAGAAGGGCAGTAGTAGTGGCTGAACTTGCTTCTTCTGCACACAGAGCACCCGTTTTCTCAGGTGAATCGCGATAGCCTCTCCTGTTTGAAGCATGTGGTACCTGGATGTTTTTGGCAGTTTATTTGGTACCCGATAGATGACGGAGAAAGACTCTTCAATATTAGCACAGTGGCCAGTTTAGACCAGGCATTCTAATATTGAGTTGTTGATGCTTTTCACTATAGCTTTATTTAACCACACTGAGAGATGTTCCCGCACACGAAAAATGAAGTTCCTAGAGCAAGGCCACTATTGTGGTGAGAGCTGTCTGCTAGCCAAAATTGGTAGACAGCAATCTACGTCAATGTTTACGTCCAAAGTCTTGGTCATGAGAAAAAAACAAGAACAAAGACTAACTCAACAAACAATCAAAGCAGACTTAGCGTGAGTGGATACGATTCACAGATATATCATCGGACTGTCTAAGAAACGGCAACAAAGAGATGACAGTATAAACTTCAGCAGGAAAAGAACCATTAGGAAGACGCTGTTTCTCTGCTAACAATAACGAAAAATAATGTACATAAAAAATATCTGTTAATTTTCCCAATGAAAGATCTGCTGCCTGGGCCTTGTCTTCTGTCGTTACACTATAACTCGCTCGTGCCATTGGATAATTGTGAGCTTCTTCAGTTTTGAGTTGAATTTTGTTGTCATGTTCGTGATGAAGATCAGTTCACACTGCATTATAGACCTTGATGCTATTAGTGTCACCATGATGGTAACTCCATCACTGTATTTGCAGTTGTTGTCTGGGTTACCACAGTAGTTTATTGACTCTCCAGTTAAAACTTTGTAAAACCCGTTTCCATTACATTTAATCCTATAGATTTTAATATTTATATACCATATCTTCTCATTTCTTTTGCAGTATAAGCTGTTTTGCCAGCTAGTCTATGTTCACACTTACTTTTGCTTTAATGAAATGAAGATACATCGATCTACTGGCTTTCAGCAGTCGTCGAATTGGGAAGTCTTCCAGCAAAGAATAAGCTGAGTTTATCTAGGCTCTGAACTTTCAATAGCCATGAGATTAATAGCCCCGCGTCTAACCTTCCCTTGTATATGAGTTTAGCACCCGCCAGTCACCTTTACGATAATTACAATACTTTGTTAAATATAAGAACAAATTAAAATTCATTTGGACATTTAGAAAACAGAAAGATTGAGCGAAGAAATATTTACTTTTCAATTAGATCCTCATCTCTGGCTCTACTCTAATATACACGTATAGCATTTTTATTACAATACACAACAGTTTACCAATCAAGTGGCACTGATATGTTTGTTAACAATAATTAAAGTGTCAAAATGTCAATGGGTTGATAATTAACGAAGAAAATCAATACACACAATTAAAAGGTAGAAATGGATAGAATAAATTAATTTTACAAGGATAACACGTAATTAAAGATGAAGTGGTCAAAATAAATATAATAAAATAAAATAATTTGGACAATGATAACTTGTAACTAAGGTTGAAGTGGTCATAAGAATAAAATAATTTTACAAGGATAACATGTAATTAAAGATGAAGTAGTCAGAAAAATAAAATAATTTGGACATTTATAATTTTTAAAGGTTTAGGGGGAGGGGGGCGAAGTAGTCCGGTTTATACATCCATATAACGATGGCCAAGGTAAGGAAAGTGGTTGTACAAATTTCTTCTGAACACACAGGTTTGGCTTCTTCAGGTGGATTCCTATTGCTTCAGCTGTAGGCATGTGGAAGACGAACTCGTAGAGCAAAATTAAGATTAGTAGGAATGCGATAAATAATTTTAAATGCAGTATTAACGTCAACCTTATGCTCACTGTCTACAAGGTGTGCTATAATAGAGCTAGCTACAAATAGATCTT